CCCCCCCCCCCCCCTTTCATTCACCGCCCCCTCACTCGCGCTCTCGACGATGGCTAAGGACGATGCCCAGCGCTTAGCGGAGGAGTGGCTGATGATGTTGACCCGGACTGTGCCCCTCTCATCATGGCTTTCCCCTATCCGAGCTTTGCTGGAGTCATTCCCACGGACATTCGTCGAAGCTGGCGGCAGCTTTGATGAGCTCTCGAAAGTGGACTTGCGGGAGTTGAGCTCCTTTGTTCCGCAGTTGGGCATCTTATTGCGGCAGTACCAAAATGCTATAACTCCGATATCTCGTCTTCCGCCCGAGATAATGGAGGCAGTGTTCATCGCTTTACGCGACCTGAGCCTTCCTGCGTGGGATGATCAACGGAGCAAGCCGACTCATTGGGTCAGGGCATGCACTCATGTTTGTAACAAATGGAGAACGGTGAGTGTCAATCCATAATGTCCTTGAACGACGTCAACTAACTGAGCCCGCTTGCAGGTCGCCCTTCACCTCCCTGACTTATGGACTTGCCTGGACATCAGCTACGCGTCTCCGGAGACTCTCATGATGATGGTCCGTCGCACTCAAGGCCACCGGTGCGACTTAGTCATGAGCAGGCCCAGCGTCGGGTTCGAGGTAGCTCATATGCTTCTCCACGGCGCACGGGTTCTGGGCCCTGTGTTCGGCGGCATAAGCTTCATGGAGCTTCAGATTGGCGCTCGTAGCCATGTCGTGCCATTCTTATCGTCTGCCTCGCTTCCAAAACTGGCAGAACTCAAGATCTCGGCGCCTGAGGAGAAAGCGCCGGCGCATGATTTCCCTCGGCCCTCCCGCATAACGATCATATTGCCTGCGTGTTCGTTCCCCGCATTGCGCTCCCTCGTCTTGAAGAACTGCACGATCTTCTCTCGCGCAGAGATGACCGACGCCCATCATGAAGCCCTATTCCCTCTACTCGACACGCTCGTCATAGACTGCGGAGACATCATCCCCGTCTTCTGGGCCGTGCAACCGCGCCCTTTCCAGGGTGGTGCAGACAGGCCGTCCATCTTTGAACTACTCGCGATCACCCCTCGTCTTCGCTCTCTCACTCTGATACAACCATTCCCGGCCTTGTTTTGCGTCCCACCCGAGAGCGTCACAAGGATCCCGACTTCACTCAGGCAAGTGTCGCTCGCCATGAAGCAAGACCGTCGCAAAATGAAGTATACTACCTTCGTTCGCTCTCTCCACCTGGGTGACATACCGGGGGTCGAAGTCGATCTTCGCATCTTGCGACCGCCAAAGGCTTTTCGTCGACAGCTATGTTATAAGAGGAAGGATGCAGAGCTTCGCCGCTTCTATGAACTGCTAGGCGTTGAACGACCCCCCATCGAGCTCGTCGTCTCGTTCACCCCTGCGACCGCCTCTCTCACGAACCCTCACGGTCGACGTAGCACGCACATCCACATCGTTGCCAAAGACTGCGAAGGCTTCACACCCAGCACCCATTTCACCCTCGAAGATCATAGCGGGAACGACATGTTTACGGGACTACCACTCGACCAGCTTGAGAAGCTCACTCTGGACGTAACACACGACGCCCATCTACAGGTCTCCGGCGAGTGGTGGAAGAAGCACTTCACAAGGGCAAAGAACGTGCGGCAAGTCGAGGTGATAGGCGGGTTCGAGAGCGCATTTGCGCTCGTGCGGGCGCTATTCGCCAATACCGGCGCGGACCATACAGAGTCGGCGAACTCTGTCAAGCAAGTTCCGACAATCAACCTTGGTTATCCAGTCAATGAAGGGCTAACGAACGAAGACGGAGTCGAAGACCCCACCCCGAACATCGCAGTCACAGAAGAACCTCTCTTTCCTCACCTCACGCGGCTCTGTATTCGAGACAAATCCTGCGAAGCCGATCGAGCCCCGACCCTGGGATGGAGACGCGTGCGGGCGCTCGAGAACATGTCGACTTCCAGATCGAGCGCACCAGGCGTAGAGGCTCTCAGCAAACTATCACTTCCATCGCGCTTTGCAGACAAATCGTGGGCAAAACACCTCCGTAGTAGGTTTGACGAGTTGCTCTTCGAGTAGTGCACCCATGCCGCTACATAAGTACAGTATAGCCGCGGTCTGGAAGGCGGAGAGGCGCTTTTGTATGAATATTAGCTAGGCAGCATCATGTTGTACCAATCTTGTACGGACAGTCGAATAGCCTTTGTTAGTCATAACCTTGATCGATTGGTTAGGGCCTAGACACTACAAGTACTCTACATGGGGAAGGTAGATCCTCGAGCGGTAGTGATCCAATTCGTATCGGCATTTGGGTACTCCCAGCTCATAACTGCAGGCGCACTCTCGTCAGGGCTGATCGAGGTGATTCATGCAGTAGACGTGTAACGCACCTCCACCATTCCAGCCCTTATCCCGAGCCAGCTTGGCACAACTGGCAATATCAGAGGGACTCATATAGCCACCGTTGTCAGCATCGCTAGCCTTGCCGAGCTTGCCGATGACGATCTTGTTCATGTCAACGCCAGCCTGAGCGATCTGTAGCACGGCTGTATTGGGAGCATCAGAACCAGACTGGTTGATCAGACCGTCGCAATCGGTGTACATCCTGTCTCCCTGTAAATGGAGAGTGAGTTGGAGTCTGCTCAATTGGCGTGATGTGTAGATCATGAACGCACCTGATTGTAGAACTGAATATTGTACCTGTCATGGCACGATGTCTCTCAACAATATCACAACAGGTGGAAACCAGCAACGACGTACCAGTCAATCAGTGAGCCGACTTGTTGGTCGATGTAAAGATATCCTCCTTTGTGGTAATTATTGGAGAACCACGGCGCGACCGGCGCGTGAGAAATTGTGTACTGTCCTGCGGGCAGCCTGTCGCGCAGGACTTGGGTGAAGGTGATCAACCAGTTTATGGCTTTGGCACCTTTGTCGTCGGCATTATCGAACGCATCAAAGTCTTCGTAATCAACTGCAGTGAGTATGCGTCAGACGCCATGATGAACATAGTCGAAAGTGGATAAGCACTCAAGTACTCACCATCCACGCCATCCAGATCGTTGTCGATCACGAATTGGGCCAGATTATTCGCTTGACTAGTCGCGTCCTTGCCATCTGTGGTGGGCTGTGGGTCCGCGCCAAAGGCAGAGACTATGACGCTGATGCCCGCATCGTTGTAAGCCTGCTTTGTGGCCTTGCGCTTAGAGGCAGACATGCTCGACCAAACTTGAGCTTGATACGAAGGCTTATAAACCCAGAACGCCAGCGCACTGATGGAAGAACAATACGATCAGAGACTGAAAGCATAAGTTGCTCATTCACGTACAGAACATTGAAGCCCTTGATATCATCGGCATCAGGAAGTCCTTGTTCGCCCGGGCCGTCCCCAAGAGTATAGACAACAAAGCGAGGGTCACCGCCGGACGCAGCTCGCGTGGGCCTAGATGCTGCGGTGCTGACGGTCTGGCTTGATTCGAGTGGCGCTGGATCTGTTGTCGCAGAAGCGGGCGATGTCGGCGAGAGGGATGTAGACGTGCTTGCATAAGCGTCATAGGTACTGGCGGTGGTGTGGGTGACCTCCCTTGGAGCGTTGCAGCCCTTGGAGGGACCGGAGGGAGCAGCGAGAACGGGACTGTAGAAGAGAGCCATGCTCCACAAAGCGACGAAGCAACAAGCCCAGGGTGAACGAGAGAACATGACGGTGGGTGTATGTGTAGTGGAAGTGAGCGTGATGCGTGTGGTAGGGTGATTCGGACGGTGGGCTGTACAAGTGAAGATAGAAGAGATAATTTAGAAGAGAAATTGAAGTGAGAAGAAGATATCAGGACGGAGAGAAGAAAGAAAACAAGAGAGCAGTGCCCTCCTCCCCGTATTTGAACAAGGTAGAGATCCCCGCATGAGAAACCTGCTCTGCCGGTCGGGTAGGGCGGGCTACTCAATCGATTCTGAAGACGCTGAAGAGCTTGAGGCTGGGGCGACCGACACGGGGCTATCGTTGATTGGCTGATATCTGGATCGAGGCTATGAGTACATAAATAGGATACATAAGCGAAGCGAGTAGGAAATGGTGTGCCGGGTCTGCTTTGACGCGGTAGCCACCATCAGCCTCAAAGCTTGTCACCAATCTCCTTCTTCACGTCACGCCATGAAGGCCGAGCAACATCAAAGCCCTGCGTCACCCGCGCATACGTATTGCCCCCAAGACGCGAGACGACCCGGAGCTTCGCAGGATCAACCTGAAGACCATCTGGTTGCAGAACCGAGTTGCGAACATGGGCCTTCTCGATGCGTCCAATCATCATGGTCGTTGTTGGCGCTGCGTCGGGCGCAGATTTGTCGGTCTCGTCAGAGTAGATGTCCTGGTAGCTGTACAACTATAAAAGTACTGAGTACGCTATTATCAATATCAAAAGCAATGCGTGACTCACTGTGCATTCCAAGCTCACAGCAGCCTCCCTCACACGCTCAGGCATGACTTGCTCCTACGAATCGTTCAGCGATATATCGCAGTGAGATGGCGCGCACGTACGCTGGGCTCTCCGGTTAGACCAGAGACGAGCCATTCGTCGATCTCTGCGGGCGCTTCCACCGAAGTCGAGTTTGCAGCCTCGACGAAAGGTTCGCTAATGAGGTTGACGACAAACTCGTTCGTGTTCAAGATGTTCTCTCGCGTATCCTTAGGACGACGCGGAGACAGCGTGCATGAGACCATGACTAATGGCGGCTTGAATGAGACCTGAATCCGGTGGTCAGCTTTGCGCGTAGGGGAAACCCGCTTGAGACGCGTACCATCTGAAAGAAGCTATGCGAACTCAGTATCCTTCCGGCATGACTCCGGCGTCCGGACGCACCTGAACGGTGCGAGGTTACGGATGCCGTCCGAAGATATGGTTGACACAAAAGCGATAGGGCGGGGGGTTATGGCACTCGATAACATCTTGTACATGTCTCTGCGCGTCATTAAGCTATCACCGCCGCAAATGTGCAACAAGCGCCCAGATGTACGCACGTCGGAGGCGTGTCCCAGCCGTCCCATGTCTTCCAGCCAGCATCTTCATCTTGCTTCCACTGTTTCCCCAGGGGCGTATCTGTAGGAAGACCTTTTTGGAGTTTCCAGTCTGGGTTGGGACTCTCGCTAGCTTTGAAGGAGTTCGGTTCGAATTTAGGCAGTCCGCTGCCTGATGCAATCCCACGTCGAGCGGTATGAAGAGCATGGCGTGTAGCAGCCCTTGAGAGTGGCAGGCGTAGTACGTTCATTACTAGAAGACAGCGAATACGCGATCCCGGTCAAAGTCTGGGGACTGGATGGTGATGATAGCAAGTGCGAAGTGCGCTCCATGGGCGACCCGACCGTACCCGCGATATCGCGCTTATGGCATCACGTTTCACACGGACCTCCCAACTTGGCAGGTCCTCTTATTCCAACTAAGAGCAACTCAGCAGATAGAGGTAAACATGAAGAAAGCACATTACGCACGCGGATGTTCGTCGTTGGAAAGAGAAAGAGACTATCGCGTACGTACCCGACGAGAGGACATCGACGCGTCGCGTCACAAGTGACGGTTCGCGTTGGATATTGTTGACACCGCCTGCCAGGCACTTCGCCACACACCACCACCACCACAGCAGCAATCGTAGATCCACTCTTCTCGGATCCAGATCTCTGCTACCTACAGGTCTCTTAGAATGGCAGGGATTGACATCGTATACCCGACTGCTGCACCGGACCCACGCTTTCGCCTGCTCGAGCTTCCAGCAGATCTCTGCAAGCTCGTCGAAGCCTCGCCAGAAGATTTCAGGTAAATCTTATCGCCAACAACATAGGCCCTGTCTAAATATACTCAAGCCTTACAATCAAGGGCTTGGAGGGAGAAGACGCCGTGCTGTGTACGCCCGACAAGACCTACACTATACGCTCGGTCGTCCTATCAAATGCGGTTCTCGTTCTTACCCCTCCGCCCGGACCAAGCACCCTGGCCAGTATGAACGTAGATGACCTGCAACCAAGAGCCGAGATACAAGAAAGCCTGCACGAGATTCTCGAACTGACCCCGACCGTGCCCAAACTACACCGATTGCGCGGGATGTTGCGGGGGATGGAGTGGGATGAGGGGCAAGAGGAGGGCGACGCAGAGTCGGATGATGGAAATAACCAAGTGCGTATAATCAGTTCCGACATTGATCGTATCTGATCGTATCACCGACAGAGTAGCCGCAAACGCGTAACGTATGACCAAGTTAAGTCTGAGCTGCGAGCGAGCGATCGAGAGATCGAACGAGCCGTCAGAGACTATCACATCCTCATAGTCAGCGGTACGCCAGCACTATCAAGCTACCCTTATGTTACTCAACCCTCTGACAGATGCACTACGGCCCATTGCACCAACATACCTGCACACCATCCTTGAGCTACTGCTCACCTATCTCGTCGCATTGAGCCAACCACACGATGCTGCATCTGTAGTGGAACTTGCTTCCGCCTTGGAATCCGAACATGATGTTCGTCGCGAAGTAACAGTGCAGATAATGCAGTGGTTTGGTGATGTTAGTGGCGCGAAGGGCGAACAACTCTGGAGTATGGACGTCTCTGGCGTCGTTCGTCAAATTGGACTTGGACTTCTCAGGAATCACAGGGTACGCTACTCCATATTTCATATTCGAACCTTTCTTATAGCCTCGCAGGATACTCCTGCACCAGAGTCAGACTTCTTGGGCAAGTGGCGAACCGCGGTCGGCGACGTCTTTGTGAATGAGGTCAAGATGGATCTACTCGCAGTATGTACATTCATCACATGATCATCATTCGTGTCATTCTCATTCATGCCCAGGGCAACTACCTCTCGGCTCCAGCACCTCTATCCGTCTCTCCCGATGCCGAACTCCAACTGACCTACTTCCCGCAAAGCGAGCTCCCCACCGAACCCACCGCCCGCTTCGCCGACCTCTTCCTCGTCCGCACACGATGGCATGCAAAGGAGATTGCACCCTTCTTGTCCGATATCGCCGTAGACTCAAAGGACCGCGATAAGCTGCTGCTGAAGTACGCGAGGGCGGTCACAGAGCCGGACGGGATATGGTACACCGCGCGCTTGAGATGAGATCGAAACGGGCGAGCTCAACGCTGGGATCTCCACCGCTTCTTCCATGTATCGTATGATGCCATGTCCTCTATGTGTCGTTCGACCACCAGAGTCATGCTCCCGTCTGCGCTCATGCTCTGCAGATCAATCAACGCCCTCTTGTCGAGCCAATGCCCAAAGTAGAATATTTCGTCCACATTGATCGTGCCGACGGGATGTACCTCCAAGTACTTGAGCTGACACGGGCCGTTCTTCGCGCATAGATCGCGCACGACGGAGTTGGACTGAGGCTTAGGCTCATAGTCCGGAAGTATGACCTTGGTCAGCTTCCCTCCCTCTGCAAGGGAATTGAGGAGTCGGGGCCCGGTCGATGCGTTGTCTCTGCTGCGTGACGAGAATCGGCATGTGAACGCGCGAAGGTCTGGCATCGCCGCGCGCCATGCGCCGTCCATGCGTGTCCGGGGTGTAAAGCGTAGTGTGAGGTCCGTGAGCAGCGGGAATGCGAGGTCACCGAAGCAACCGAGGACTCCTGTGAACTCCGGGTTGAAGGAGAGTATACACAGTGAAGTGACGCGTGGGGCGACGCGGCGAAGGATCCCAGCTACAAGCTTCTCGAGCCTCTCGGCCTCGTCGAGGTGTCTCTCCATGACCGCCTCATCATGCGCGTCTTCCTCCTCATCGACGATGCAAGAGCCGAAGGTCATGATGTAATCGAAGCGGTCGTCGGCCTCTTCGCGTATCCTGTCGCTTATGGACAAACGTTGGATGTTCGTCGTGATTGAGGGATCGCTCGTCTTCAAAGCGCGAAGTAACGCTCGGATTCGCTTCTCCCCTGATACGGCGACGTGGGTGAAGGGGACGCAAGCGGCGGATATGCGGCGGTCGACAAGTCTGAGAGAGCAGCATGCACGAGGATCGTCGGAACAGGCATCCTGGAAGATGAGTTGCAAGAGTTCCGTAGGACACTCATGGATGTGCGCCATGGTCAGTCAGCATTCGTTTCCAAGATAGCGCTGGTGGGAACGAGAGACACAGATATTATTGGGTCCTACCCACAGACATTTATATACCTTCTTGGAGTCACACTATACCCTATACGAGTCATTCGCGACGATCAGAAACTGACAGGAGCGCACACAGCCCAGATGATCCAAGATTCCCGGGGAGATGTTCTATCCGCACTCTAATATGTACACCACCAAGCCCCTCCAGCAGGGCGTAGCAATAGACGCAATGATAAGCTAAAATGGAGTCCGTGAGAAGTAGAAAAAACAGCGTGGATATCCAGTCCACGGTATGAACGTGAAACGTAGTAGTAGTACACAAAAACTCAAGCTCGAGTGCAAAGTAAGGCTGCGAGGGAGGGTGAGGGAGGGTAGGGGGAGACGCCGGACATGTGGACGACGGGTCAGTACGGTAGTACAACAAGGCGATTGAAGCCAGCAGCCATAACGAGCGACATTGAACGACAACGACGTGTATTCCTGATCGAGGAAGCAAGCAGGCGAGCGCATCCTAGCGATACGCCTATGCGGTGCCGTACGCGATGGGTGCGGCCTGCTCGGCGAGCTTCTTCTGACGGAAGGCGCGGCGGTACTTGGTGCGCTCGTATGTGACGAGACCGACGACGATGAGCGCGATGACGGAGATGCCGGCGAAGACACCGAGACCGATGGGCAACACCTGGAGCTGCTTGCCAGGGATTTGGAAAGCAGCCTGGGCAGCAGCCGAAGCAGTCGCGCTTGCGGTAGCAGTGGAGCCGGACGCGTTATCTGCCGCCGCTGCCGCCGCGGCAGTGGCTGAAGCCGTGCTGGAAGCCGATGCGGCAGCTGCCGAAGCACTTGCCGCCGTTGCGGTAGCTGCAGCTCCAGTGGCAGCAGCCGAAGAAGCCGCCGAAGTTGCGGTAGCAGCAGCAGCGCTCTGCGAAGCAAGAATAGACGAGAGATCAACGGTGGAGATCGCCTGAGAAATGGTAAGTCTGACATTTTGACAGTTACGGAAAGTATGAGAGAAGCACGTACCACGCTTGCGGTCGAGGCAGCCTCCGTGGCAGACGATGCCGCGCTGGTGGCAGCAGCCGATGCAGAATCCGCGCTTGAAGTGGTCTGGAGCAATGATTACATGTCAGTAACACGCATCGAAAGCGGTTGATGGGATGAGCCTACCTCGGCGGCAGAAGTCGCCGCAGCAGACGTCGCGGCGGCCGTATCGCTCGTTGCAGCGCTCGTTGCCGCAGAAGTCTCTGCAGCCGCAGAAGTCTCTGCAGCCGCAGAGGTGGTATCAGCGGCGCTGGTGGCAGCGGCCGTCGAGGTTGCCGCAGCTGCGGACGTGGTGTCCGCTGCGGTTGTGGTCGCAGCCGCAGAAGCCGAAGCCGAAGTCTGGGCAGCGGCCGTCGATGTGGCGGCGGCAGCGGTTGTCGTCGAGTTCAAGCTCACGACGTCGACGTTGCATACGCGGGCAACCTCGATCATCGCCTGGCCTTTCTGTGTGACCGGGGTCATCGTAACTTGACATGTCTCCGTGACCATGCCTTGAGACCTGTATTTCCCCATCAGTCATTGCAATGATACTGATAGATGTACTGTACGCACGTCATTTTCTGCTCCTGGGTATCAAACGTGATGGGTGCAGTGACATCCGCCGTGCCGTCGCCATTGTTGATGACCCGCGTCTCGGTCGTCTTTGACTTCTTGAGCTCGGTGGGCGCGGCGAGCGCATCACCGGCTGCCAGGAGAACGGCGAGGAGGGAGAGAAGGAAGGTGGGAGCAAAGTGCAGCATTGTTGGTTGCTCGAGTGGGGTATTTGGGATACAGAGAACGGAAGGGGCAGCAGCGAAAGACCAGCTAGCAGCAGTAGTAAAAATCAAGGAGCGCGGCTCCGTACAAGTCACAGGGAACAGGTGGCTTGCGTAGTAGCACGAAATAGAAGAAGATAATGAGAGGAAGGGAAAGAGCACAGCACAGGAGCCCCCGGGGCGAGCAGAAGGCAGAGAGAGTCAGGAAGACAGGCGTTCTGGCACAAAAGCACTTCGCATCTCGACACCCTTGCTGCGCTCTGACCTCTTCCCACGAACCTTCCTCCCGACCACCACTTCTCGGTACTATAGTAACCGCAGGAACATGTTCCTTTGTCCGTGATTGCGGCCTCCGCGCCGATGATCTGTTTATAGCAGTCGAAACGCCGCGCTCGTTGAGGCTTGGAAGCGAACAATGGCAAACAATGCCCTTCTCGCGTCATTGTTGGGCTTCCAACTTTTAGCGCTTCGACAACGTTTAAGTCCGAAACTCTACATCTCGAACAAGGAACAAACAAACTACATCCAAGCACACCTCCTGACAAACGCGACCCTCTCCTCAAGCATCCGACAACTATCACCAATCTCAAAATACGTGATCCCAAGATCACCCAGCACTTCTCTGAACACCTCCAAACAACGCTCTCTGTCCTCTGCGATACTTCGAATTCCGTCGTCATGCATCCAATCCGGAATGGGCCGTAGCAACACACAGACCGTGTGCGGCGCGCGATACGAGGCGAGAGCGGTCTGGAACGACGCGGATTCGAGGAGCGCTTGATCGTTTGCGGACGTCAGCTTGGCGTAGACGAGCGCGTCGATGGCGGACCGGTCGCAAAGGATGAGTGTACTGCGTGGTACGGCCTGTTTGGAGGATCCCGTCAAGCGGAGTGCTGCCTCGCGAGCTTGTGTGTCGTGGGCGATTTGAGCGTCAACAATGGCCTGTTGCATCTCTAGCTTGTGCACGTCGGCGCGAGAGAACCCCTGCTCTCGCATGACTGTGCGAGCTACTTCTGTGACGTAGACTTCATTGGGCAGGCCGAGCTGCCTCGCGAGGGCATTGCAGAGCGTGGTCTTTCCCGCGGATGATGGCCCGACGACATAGATAGCGGTGACGCTGTTGATGAGCTGGCGCTGCGTCGAGGACATGTTGACCGTCGTCTGTTCGCGCAATCTAACCACTGAACAGGTCATTGACAGCCTATATAGCCTTACCGATGCGGTAAGGTCTGTATCAGCTTCGAATCTCCTACAGGTTCGAACTCTCAGCGTCTACGGTGAGCATTCAGTCCGCCCTGATGATCCCTCCAGCTGACCCAAACACCTCTTATCCAGCCTTCCAGCGCCAACAACCGCGTATATATCTCCTTCGAGTGCCAACACGACAAGCCATCGTATCATGGCATCAACGGACATCCATGTCCTGCGCGAGAACCCCTCCAAGGACGACGACGAATGGCGCTTCTTGGATATTCCTGCGCACCTGATGGCGCCTCGCCCGACGCGCTCCGGGAAGCCGCGCTCCAAGCTTATCAGATTCACACCCGAGAGGATCACCCTACAAGCATCCGAGCTGGCGAGCAACCGCGTAGTCCACCATGATGAACCGGAGAAGATCATTGTGGCGTCTTTCGATGGTCTTCGGTTTCCGGACGAGAGACCTTCTGTTTCGAGCGAATACATATTCAGGCTGCTGAAGGCGGGTCTGTTTCTGAACGGAAAGCAGTATCGCTTTTTCGGGCATGGCAACAGTCAACTGGTGAGCTGCTATGTACAGTCGACTACGTATATGCGCTGACGGCTAGTCACGAAAGCGTGGCAGAGGGTGTTATCTGCGAGAAGCCAACACGGATGAAGAACTGGACGAGCGCGTCTACGTTATGGGTCAAGAACTGAAGAAGATCCTGAATGTCGCAAAAAGTACATGTAGCCTCATGTCTGCGCCAGCAGGTATCTGAACTGTCCTTGTGTAGGAGCGAAGCGCATCGGTCTCTTGTTCTCTGGCGCCGAGATAGACTACGTCGTGCGGGACCGTGTCGGCGACATTGGCGACCTCATGATTGGTGATGAGAACTTCTCAGACGGATGCGGTCTGATCTCAAAATGGCTCAGGTGCGTGCCTACATGTATCAGCGACACAAATCTTGACTGTCGTTTTCACAGCATACAACTGAGTAGGAAGAAGCGGATCATCTACCGGGGTGAACGCTACACGCCTTGCGTTTTCCAGATACGGCACGTATATACTGAATACGTCTACGGTCCCTGATATTGATGCAGTGCCACTTCACGCAGCTATCGCGGGTACAAGGGTGTGGTGATGCTCCATCCAGCCCTGGATAGTGCCAAACAACACATCATCGAATTCCGCAAGAGCCAAAAGAAGTTCGCAGCCACGATAGACGACACATTCTCCGTCGTCGGTCATTCAACGCCCTATTCATTTGGACGTCTCAACAACGAGATCGTCGTACTTCTCACTAGTCTAGGTATCACAGCCGAGACTTTCAAGAGGAAGCAGGACGAGTACTTCGCTTGGATACGCGATGCAGCACTGGACCCGGGAAAGGGATTCGAGTTCCTCTCAGCACTCGGGAAACACAACACCGCCGAGAAGCTCTTCCTGTACGGGTTCAATCATAGCGGCGCGCCGGATGCGGAAGACGCGCGCCTCTCGGGTATCAACGTGCAGAAGGACATCCGCGGCGCGCAGATGGGCGAGCTGGCCGCGTTCAGGAAGAACGGTGATGAACGCAAGGAGCGTGTGAGGATGCTTGTGCACAAGTCTCGGCGCCTGTATGGTGTTTGCGATCCGTTTCGCGTCTTGAAGGAGGGCGAGGTGCACGTGAGGATCACTACGTCTCGGAACGGCGCGAGCACGGTGCATGCAACGGATGTCATCATTGTTCGCAACCCATGCCTTCATCCTGGTGTGTACGAGGGATCGCTTTTGCGCGATACGAGTCCTGATGCGTTTGGGCGTCAGGTGACATCCTCAAGCTACGCGCAGTCTATAAGCAGGAGCTTGCACATCTAGTGGACTGCGTAGTGTTCGCATCTGTTGGAAAGCGCGCAGACCCGTCGAAGAGCTCTGGCGGTGACCTCGATGGTAAGCTTCTTGCTCTCTGAGAAACGCACGTGATACTGACGCCATGTAGGCGATGAGTATTTTGTATGTTGGGATCCGGATCTTGTACCCCATACAGTATCGGAACCGTATACCTATCCGCCGAACAAGGAGAACACCCAGCTGAAGATCACGAGGGAAGACCTCGCTCGGTACTTTGCTTTCTGGAACAAGTACGTCTGGACACCCTGATCGGTGCCAAATGGGGATTTGATGCCTTTCCATAGCTCAGGAATGGCTCGCACGACGGCTCTACATAACAAATGGGCGCGCTATTCACCTCAGGGAGCGCTCAGCAAGGAATGTCAGGAACTGAATGCGCTATACTCTCAGGCGGTGGATGGCGCCAGAGTTTCGATACCCGAGCGCCTCAGATCTCCTCCAGATCCTCCCGAAGGCTCTGAACCGTTCATCCTGACTGTTCTCGCAGACGCTGCGCGAGAGTTCGCGCAAGACCTATTGGTCGAGGAGGGTCATGCCGATCACGGTCCCCTCTCCCCCGAAGATGCAGACGAGCTCATTCACCGCCTTTTCTCCATCGACGAGGCTCTTCTGTCCGAGGAGCAAATTGTGAACCTCGCTCATAAGCTCGCTCGTCGTCACGGGCTCGACTTCCGCAAGTACTTCTCACATATCAACTGGGGTGCGCTCGGCACGGCGGAGAAGAAGGCGCTTTCGGCCGCGTTGGACCTGCAACCGCTCGAGGAGGCGTACATGTGGAACAGCCTTCTGCGTTCTGATATCGTGAAGGCTCAAGACTTGTCACCGAAAAAGTTGGGTGGGCCTCTACGTGTTCAGCGGCTGTACTCGTCGAAGAAGGTCGGGCGGCCTGCTTTCTTTGAGTACTTGGTAAGAGCGATGCAGAACTACACTCGAAAACTGGTCGTAGTGAAGGTTTGTTTCATAATGATCGCAGACCCGCACATCTTCTAACTTCAACTTCATCTGCACAGCTTGACGAACGCTTCGCCTTCGCCTTCTTCATACGTGGCGATATAGCCCTCAACGAGGACGCACCTGTCGACGGGGAACACATTGTTGTTGCTTCGTTCATGAAAGAGACTGCGATGGAGGCTGTTTCAACCTTCAAGTATTTCCCTGAGGGCTTCCGATTATATTGTGGCGATGGCAACGTTCAGCTCTTCAACAAGACGCGGGCGAACACCTTCATACATCTACGCAAACCGCCGATTAACTCAGAGGAAGACTTCATTGTCAGCATTGCGTTGCAACAGATATCGGGACGGGTGCAGAGGGTACGTATGTTGGCTACCATGCGCGGTCAGAGGTACTGGAACGAAACCATAGCAAATGGGACGGGTGAACAGGCATCCTGTCGTGGATATGGAGATCCACGTTGTTTCCAATCGCGACCGTGTGGCCCGTCAGCTCTTCGATCTTCGCTTCGATCAGTATGTCCAGCCGCAGCGGGTCATGAATATGCGTATGAGCTCACTTTGAATGCAGCGTCGACACGGAGGAGTACATTCGTCGCCTTCAACATACCCCAACGACCTACCAGCGCAACACATTGGATACAGCTGAACTCGATGGCGTTCCTGAACACCTGAGGGATATCTTTCGCCTTCAAGAGGATGCCGCAAAGCGGCGCCTCGCCTCCGTCGACCTAGATACTGGCCTCGCCGAGCTCAACAAGGTTATGGAGTTCGCGTGGACCCATCATTGCGAGACACAGCTCTTCTGGTCATTCGACGCGCTCATCGAGCGCCTTCCTCTGGACAGGGTCCTTGTGGGTAGCTGGATCAAGCGGCACCCGCTGCTTGTCTTTTGCATACTCAAGAAGTACCCGCCTGAGGAGGACGGACTGCTCGGAGATGATATCAACAGCGAGGAACTCGGCCCGGCGCTTATCCAACAAGTCATCCGCGCTGCCCCCGCCGTGCCTATTGCTGCGTTGGTTGCGCTCGAGAAGCTCACCGGGACCATCAACGCACTCGACTTCGCATTGTACATAGAGCTCGTCGAGCTCGTAGTGCTGGTGATCCGTGCTCCGGAACAAGTCGTGGAGACGCTCTTCGTCCTTCACGAGCGACGCGCCGGCGCTCGGGCCGCGTCTCCGGCAGCGGAATACGCACACAAACAGGCGCTCGCTGTGGCGCTCGATCGTGCTCAAGAGGCGAATGACGAATGTCCGTGCGACGAGCAGGGTCGTCCTCGGAAGCAACGTTCTGCACCTGCAGTCGTGCCCCTCAAGCCATACAAAGACGAGCTGATGACGGTGATCGCCGAACCCCGCGTTGATGCCCCTTCATCTATTCGCCTTCATTCGCATGTACGGCTGCGTGCGGCTTCGAAACCTGAGAAGGGCGACTTTGAAGTACCCATGATGGATGGTATCGTGACCGTGATGCAGGCTGGCGAGGTTAGGATCTCGCTCGCGCATACGCCGCCGCCAGAGTATGCGAGCATAGAGTGGTATCTGTATGATGCAGGCAGCGTCGGCGAGTACCATTCTCCATCGGTAGACTCATCATTCTAAATATCCTTTAGCAACATTCAGAGCCATGATGGATGCCATTCACCGACTGGCCACGGCCGGGGCCGATTGCTGCATCTTCTACCGCTCCATCGCGGAGACTAACGTGGTCGCCACTGAGCTCGACGGCCACGCCACCGACGAGCTAGATATAGATGCGTCAGGAGGAGAGTCGGAAGAAGACGGTCTGAACAGTAGTCAAAGGCGTGCGAGAGACTTGACTCTCGTCCGACCTCTTTCGTTGGTATGGGGGCCGCCAGGTATGTAGAGCTACAGTTTGTTGCGCACGAGCTCACATCTGCGTTTGTAGGTACTGGGAAGACAACCGTAGTGGTGAAGATCTTGGAGAGTTTCGTGAGGAGTCTGTCGGAGGGAAGACGAATCCTCATGACAGCGTCGACCAACAACGGTGAGCGATTCCGTATTAGGCTCAGCAAGTAGATGCTGACGCCACCGATGAAAGCCGTCGACAACGTGCTTGAACGCTTTGTACGCCTGAATGACGAGGCCCACATAATATCGTCGGACCGTATCATCCGCTTCGCTACAGATCGCGGACGCGTTGGCAAAGCACTGCAGAAGTATACGCTGGAAGGTCGCGTCGGTGGGGAAATCGTGCGCGACAGAGCTCGCAAGGAAAGGGCAGAGGAGCTCTTAGAACATGCTGCGATTGTCTTCACGACCTGCGCAGGCGCCGGTTTAGGAGCCTTGCGCATCATAAACGAATTTCACACGGTATTGATCGACGAGGCATCCCAGGTGACCGAGCCAGTCGCGCTTATCCCTCTTGTCAAGGGCTGTAAACGGGCCGTTCTGGTTGGTGATCAGTACGTTCTCTTGATATCATTTGCCGAGACTGTCGCTCACCAGTACCATCTATACAGTGTACAACTTCGGCCTATGGTACGGCGAATAGGTCCTGCCATGTTGTTCGATGTTTCTCTCTTCGAGCGGCTCTACACCGGACCGAATCTGCCTGGTTTGGCCCGCACAATGTTAGACGTGAGCATACTATCATCTTACTTCCGGCGGAATACGGACTCATGCCTATACACTCTCCAGGTGCAGTATCGGTTTCCGCGAGAACTAGCTCATTTTCCGTCTACGGAGTTCTACGAGGGCAAGCTCAGGTCAGCTATGACAGACGAGGAAGCGAAGAGCCTGTCTGCAGTGCTTGAGATGGTGCAATTCCCATGGGTGAAGGATGCTACAGGACGGATCGAGCCCGCCGCCTTTGTACATTGCGGGTCCGAAGAAGACTACGGCGGG